ATAAAGGTGGCAGGAATGTACAGTGGAGAAAGGACAGCCTCTTCAGTAACTGGTGCTGGGAAAACTGGACAGGTACATGTAAAAGTATGAGATTAGATCACTCCCTAACACCATACACAAAAATAAGCTCAAAATGGATTAAAGACCTAAATGTAAGGCCAGAAACTATCAAACTCTTAGAGGAAAACATAGACAGAACACTCTATGACATAAATCACAGCAAGATCCTTTCTGACCCACCTCCTAGAGTAATGGAAATAAAAACAAAAATAAACAAATGGGACCTAATGAAAATTCAAAGCTTCTGCACAGCAAAGGAAACCATAAACAAGACCAAAAGACAACCCTCAGAATGGGAGAAAATATTTGCAAATGAAGCAACCGACAAAGGATTAATCTCCAAAATTTACAAGCAGCTCATGCAGCTCAATAACAAAAAAACAAACAACCCAATCCAAAAATGGGCAGAAGACCTAAATAGACATTTCTCCAAAGAAGAGATACAGACTGCCAACAAACACATGAAAGAATGCTCAACATCATTAATCATTAGAGAAATGCAAATCAAAACTACAATAAGATATCATCTCACATCAGTCAGAATGGCCAACATCAAAAAATCTAGAAACAATAAATGCTGGAGAGGGTGTGGAGTAAAGGGAACACTCTTGCACTGCTGGTGGGAATGTGAATTGGTTCAGCCACTATGGAGAACAGTATGGAGGTTCCTTAAAAAACTACAAATAGAACTACCATATGACCCAGCAATCCCACTACTGGGCATATACCCTGAGAAAACCGAAATTCAAAGAGTCATGTACCAAAATGTTCATTGCAGCTCTATTTACAATAGCCCAGAGATGGAAACAACCTAAGTGCCCATCATCGGATGAATGGATAAAGAAGATGTGGCACATATCTACAATGGAATATTACTCAGCCATAAAAGGAAACGAAATTGAACTATTTGTAATGAGGTGGATGGACCTAGAGTCTGTCATACAGAGTGAAGTAAGTCAGAAAGAAAAAGACAAATACCGTATGCTAACACATATATATGGAATTTAAGGAAAAAAATGTCATGAAGAACCTAGGGTTAAGTCAGGAATAAAGACGCAGACCTACTAGAGAACGGACTTGAGGTTATGGGGAGGGGGAAGGGTGAGCTGTGACAGGGCGAGAGAGAGTGATGGACATATACACACTAACAGACATAGTAAGGTAGATAGCTAGTGGGAAGCAGCCGCATGGCACAGGGATATTGGCTCGGTGCTTTGTGACAGCCTGGAGGGGTGGGATAGGGAGGGTGGGAGGGAGGGAGACGCAAGAGGGAAGACATATGGGAACATATGTATATGTATAACTGATTCACTTTGTTATAAAGCAGAAACTAACACACCATTGTAAAGCAATTATACCCCAATAAAGATGTTAAAAAAAAATATATATATATATATATCAGTTATTTTATTCCATATCAAAACTATCAACTATACTGCAATATAAGAAATGCTAGTGCTATGAAATTATCTTCTGTATTAATAGAAGAGTAAAGAGCAAATATTTATATACCATGTTTAACTGCATCTAATATACAAAAGAATAAAAAAAAATTATTTGTCTTACAGAGGATTCCTTGCCTTATAGAAATATTTGCCATTGGGTACTTTTAAATCAAGCTTTCCAGTGCACTGGCTTTCAATAATTTTTAAATGTAAAGAGAATGTATTCTAATTATTTGGAAAATAAATAAATGGAGAAAAAAGAAAAACATTCATATTATTAGCTATGGTTCCTTTCAGTCTCTTTTTGTCCTGTAGATAGATTTTAAATGTAATTATCAATAGAATGCTAATTACACAGTAAAAACAGTTCTGTAGCTCATTATAATGTATCTTTTCACAAACTCTCATTTTTTAATGAGAGCATGAGTTCACTCAGTGGATAAATCATTTCTGTTGACCCTATTTTTAGACATTTAACTTGTTTTCAAATTTTTTAAGATTAAAAATAACATTTTGATTTATTTTTTTATCCATAAAGACTTTTCCATGTATGAATTATTTCATTAGGCCTTACTACCCAGTACAATTACTGGATGAAGAAGTATAAACATTTTTGAGGTCCTTGATATATATTTGCTATTTTGGTTTTCAAACAGTAGTACCAATTTATATCATCACCAGTAATATATGAGAGAATATGTTTTAATGCACACTTCTCAGCACTGAGCATTATCACTTTGTTTTATCTTTGTTAACTTCACAGATGAATATTGTATCTCATTTTATCACATTTCTTTTTATTATGAATGCACTTTTCCAATGCGGGTTAATTAGTTGTATTTCTTATTGCGTATACTTTCTTTTCAGCCAGTTCTTTCTGGAAGACTTATTGTCCTATTAAATTAAAGGGGAAAACTCTGAAAGCTGAGCTGAAGGATAGAAAAATCATCCTTCTGATATCAAATTTATCACTTTTAATCTTGGGGAAAACCTATTAAATACTAACATTCAAAATCTCCCTATTACCAATCCACCCTTCAACTCCACTGTCAATTCCAGACCTCTTTTCTTTATCCCGATCTATCAGCTCCCTCTAGTTCAATCCTTGATAACATCTGCTGTCCTTTTACTCTATTCCTACTTCTAGGGTTAAACAAGGATGAAAAAAAAAAAAACACTGTAAACAAGCTGACTGGTTCCACTGTGGGCTCATCAACTCTAACTTCAACAGGGAATTTTATCTTGCTCAGCCATCCTTCCATTCATGATCTTCGCCTACTCTTTAGCTTATTTTCAGCAAATGCATCTTTTCAATTCTCAAATTTCCCATCACTCCTAGCAGATGATCATTCTTCTTACCTCATACTAAAGGTAAGACATTTTCAAATGTGAACTTCCCTAACCTCCCCACACATTAAAATTTCTATTTTTATCCTTCTCTCTTCATTCCATCCAGTCTCAGAAGAAAACTGCATGCCCTCTCTTTTCCAAGACTAACTCCTCCCTTGGATCACTCACTTTTCTGTTTCCTCCATGACTTTTGCTTCATTTCCCTATCACCCAGGTTAGAAGCCTCAGAGATAGCTTCAATCCTTCCCAGTTCTTTCCATACATAAACATCTCATAAATTGCCAAATCCTATCACAAGTGATTTTTCTGTGTCTCCTAAATCCATCTTTTCCTTTCTGTAACTGCAGTCCCACTTTAGGCCTTCTCCATTGCTTTTCTGGACTCTTAAGGAACACTCTAATGGGTCAGCCCATCTCTAATATCTCATTTCTCCAATGTTTCACAATCCACACATCTGCCAAATTTATTTTCTTGAGACATAGATCAAATCACATCTTAAAATACAAAGATAATCACATCATTGTCTTCTCTCATTCCCTACCATGGCTTTTAGATGCCTAGAGAATAAAGCCGAAAGTATCTAGCACAGTATTCATAATCTGGCCCCACCCTACCTAGCCAATATTACCTCCTAATGCATCTCCCTTATTTAATATGTTCTATAGTAGATTCATGTTGCATTATACTCTGCTCCCTGAACATACCATTGGGTGCAGGTACATCCCAATGCAGTGGTTCCTATTGCAGCCACTGTGAAAGACGCCTAGTGTTACTTCAGTGTTTTAGAATCCGTAACAGCTCAAATGCCAATTCCTCTGTGGAACCTTTCCCAAACTCCTTAGTAGTAATTTATGATTATTTCCTTTGGATGCTTACTGTACTTTATTCATACCAACCATACAAAATTTACCATACTATATCATAATTATTTGTAGACATATTTGTTGTATAATTATTCATATACATGTTCCTCACTAGGTTATAAACACTTTGAAGGTAGAGATTATGTTGTATTCTCCGTATTTGCCCTATCATCAGTATCAAGTCAATGTTTGACACTCAGTAAATATTTATTGAATGAATAAATGAATGAATGGCTCATACTTTTCACTGAAGGAAAGAGAGTCTTCAGTCACAGAAAACAGACTATCTTTCCTTTTATACTTCCTCCAATATGCACTGAAATCAATGACTTTACTTGGGTTTTACTAACTTGTTTAAATAAAAATGCCTTACCTAAGATTTCCTACAACTTAAATTATACAAAGCCTAAAATAAGACATTTTATCCATGGGAAAAGAAAGTTTGGCAAGAAAACAGAATTTCATAGTGACTCAGACAACAATGCCTCTAAACAGTCTCTAGTGAAAATACAGACAATAACACAGACTCTCAAAACTGGAGAAGGAGCTGGAGTTAGAAGAATCTGTTTAACAAAAATTAGCTTCTGAGAACAAAATGTAAAATGATAGAGCAGGGGACATACACTTTGATTAAACCAGCCTTTGTGGAGAAGAAATATGGTAAAAGGCAAACGTATATTTAAAGTCCATAGCTCTGAGACATTTTTTTAAACAGGCAACTTAATTTTTTATATTTTTCTTTGTATGATCTTCCCTGGGAACACCACCACTTGAAAAATTAATTTGTTGTTGGCAGGGGAAAAGCTCCAAATTCAGCCAGCAATTTAGTGATGAGTTTTGATACTCAAATGCTCTTAGTTAATTTGAATAGGTGACTCTAGCATTTGATGTCACACAAGGACAATAGATACTGACAAGAAGATTACTTTGAACTAAGATGCTTTCTGTCCACGTAATACCATACATGGCAACTGGAATAATGGTGTCTTTAAAATTGTTAACCACTTATTTGTGAATGGGTCAATGAGAAATTTGCTGCCTTGGGCAGCTTGATAGGGAAGTCACTCGGCCTACCTTCTATCCACATACTTTATGTATTTAATTATGCACATCTGTCTTCCCTACTAGGGATTAAGTGTATGCGGAGCAGGGACATTTCCTTTTAGCTATGTTGCACTGCCTCTGGCTTAATCTGAGTACTTAATAAAGTGCAAATCTTACTGATTAAAAAAACCCAGCAGCAATAAAATGGCCTATAAAGAAGGGGAAAAATGAATCATACCTTTGAACCAGGTGGGGCTGTCAAGCCTAAAAAGGCATACACTGCATTATTTTCTCTGGCTTCAAAGAAGGCATCATAGTCCTTGATAAAAGAAGGCAACAAGAATTAGCAATATACAACCAACAAAGGAAAGAAAAGGGGAAATTAATTCAAAATTATCTGACTGGTCAATATCTTTGAAGGCAAACAGGCTAGCTAACTTCAATAATGCTAGAATTCTGGAAGGAGTAGTAAAGAGTCAAGGCTCATTGGATCTCAACTAATGTGGGTTAGAAGATATGCTGATCTGTGAGACAGAAATAGCAAAAGGACTTATTTCATACTGCATAGAACTTAAATCTGCCTCAGGGCAAGCAGCTTTCTCCATAGCCCAAAGCAGCCAACTATTTGCCAGTAAGATGTTGCTTACTTTTGGGAGGAGGCTATTGTTCCAGTTTGCCATTATTTCTCTTGCATTATTCATTAAGGTAGAGATGCCCTCAGAACCTACAGCAGACCAGATTTTAGCTATCCCATGGCCATAAGAATAGTAAATCTGTGCTGTGTTCAGAGGAAGGGTATGAGATTTTCATGAAATATGACTGGAAGAGCAAACAATCCGGGGATCCAATAAAAGCTTCACGTGACTAAATTCAGTTGGGCTTCCCATTGTCATCCTCTAAACCACCATGCATGCTCCAAAAGTAACAACCGAACTGCCTACATTTGACTATGACATATAATAAATAGCAAATATACTTAGAAAACACAGCCATTGTCTATACCTGGCCTTAGTTTGTTTGACTTAAAACACACAGAGAGGGACTTCCCTGGTGGTCCAGTGGTTAAGACTCTGCCCTTCCAATGCAGGGGGCACAGTTTCTATCCCTGGTCGGGGATCCCAAATGCCTCATGGCATGGCCAAAAAAATTTAAAAAATTAAAAATTAAAAAAATAATAAAGTGTTTCAAAATTTCTCTAAAAAAACGCAAAAACACAGAGATAAGCTTGGCATTTTGGCTGAGTTATTAGAGGTAAAATGAACTCATAATTTGCTGGCTTCTGTAGAGATTGCCTCACCAACAGATCACCAATTACAAGGTTCTTTTCTAGCATATATAGTTCCTGGTACTTGGAGGATCTGGAGGTATAAAGTTTACGGCCTCTCAAGCCATTGATGACCCTAAATCTGACCCCTAACTCAAGAAACATCAGAATTTCTCTCATTTAGGGACTCTTTTAACACAGTCAGTATTGTTTAGAGCCACAGCATCTTTTTGTGTACCCTAGATGTTGACAAAGGATTAAATCATAAACAACAGGCATTTATGACCAGCCTCCTATATTCTTTAAACTCACTATTCAAAAGTGAAACTAACTGGATCTTGATACAAAATCCATACTGAGACACATGACCTATAAGTTACTCAAGGTAAACAAGCAATATACATCATATCTATACTCAGCCACTTGGAAGTAACCTCAAAATGCTAGTTAAAAGAACGTAACAGTTATACAAGAGACATTTCTTACTATAATCAAATCAATAAAAACAGTCTGTGTCAATCTTTAAACTCATGTGAAAGAAAGTAGATCTTCAAATACATTGAAATCTGATCATAAAATACTATGTAGGGTAATCTAGTTATCTCTGCTTCAGGTGTTTGGGGAATCACAGTACATTATTTGTTGGCCCTGAACTTAGCACACAGAAACAGATTTGTAGCTCTGAGAGAAAAGAATATCATCTTCTCAATTAATCAGGATTAATTAATTTATTGTACAAATATGTATTGAGCACCTACTACATGCCAATCACTGTTCCTGGTGCTAAGAATACAAGAGTAAACAAAACATAGTCTGCTTCTTCTATAGGAATTCTCTTGAGGAAAATATACTTTATTTACATATTTGGGATTCCAATAACATTAATCCAGAATGTATTCTACCATATATTTGTATCATATTAATTATTTCATGAAAATGTGCTTTAGTTCTTCATATACACAGCATAAGCTCTTTCAGAACATAGATTACCCTTAAAAATTTTGTATCGTTTATAGCAGAGCTTCATTTATGTTGGCAGGGTAATTGTTTCAGTTACATACTAATCTGGAAATAGAACCTAAGCTATAGCTCAATGATTCTAAAAAAGGAGGTAATTTTCCCCCAGGGATGTCTCGCAAAATCTGGAAACATTTTTGTTTTTTCACAACTGGGAGGGTGCTACTAGCACTCATGGATAGAAGCCAGGGATGCTGCTAAACATTCTACAATGCACAAGGGAGCCCCCATAAACCCAACATATCAGTATTGCCAAGGTTGAGAAACCTTGGGACAGTTTAAACAAGGGAATTTAATATGAAGAACCACTTACAAAAGATTAAAGAGCTGAAAGGCAGACAGGAGACGGTGAGGCAGCCCAGAGACTAGAAATAGCAGGAAGCTGCTACCACAGCTACTGCTGAAGGGAAGAGTGGAGAAGGTAGTATTACAGAGCTGGTACCACAAAGGAGATGTAGCCACTGTCATGGACACCTCCAGAAAAAGGGGGGATACCTTGGCTTTTCCTCTCCTCCTGCCCTCCACTCATCCAACCAGTGCATCCTATTACCGGCCAAACCTAATAGGCAGCCAGTTGGCAATGGACACTGGGAAATATAATTTGCTGAGGTCAGCCTCCCACAATACAGAATGAAACAAGAAAAGAACCAAGATGGGATCTTTGAGTAAACAGGAAAATTAACAGCACAGTGGTTTAATAGAATGAGTAAGAACTTCAGAATAAGACAGATCTAAGTTTAAATTCTAGCTGCATCACTTAATAATTGTATGATTTAGGAAGTTAGTTAACCTCTTCTAGGCCTCAATATCTTCATCTATGAAACAGGAATAACAATATCTACACCTCATGAGATTAGTATGAGAACTGATTAATATAGTACACATAAAGTATGTAGCACAATAGCTGACATATAATATGCTTTCTATGAACGGTTGCTATACACTTTTCTCCCTAACGTCTGTATAGGGACAAATCTTAATTATTGTTATGAAACTCCTAACTCAGTGCCTGGCACACAGCAGGCACTCAATAGAAAATGGATTCCTTTTCCATTAACAAATATTTGTTTGATTTGCATCTCACCTCCTGCACCTTCCTTTTCATCTTCCCATTTCTCAGTGATACTTGCCTTTTTTTCCATAACATACTCCATTCCCTTATAGTATGGCTTCCGAGGGAGAAATAAACCAGGTAAATTTGGCTTCTCAAACATCACCCTTATAACCCAAAATGTGTTTCTTTTAAAAAGTCAAACAAATTGAAATTCCTGCTTCAAAAAGGAGAGATTAAGACAATATATGCTGGCTTAGATTGGACTGGATGACCTCTGAGGCCTGTTTCAGCCCCTGAGAGTTGACAATTTGCAGAAATTTCAAATATAGAAGCACTGAGGTTTCACCATCTAAATGAATAGCCTAATTGTCTTTTCCTTATCTACATAATATGTCTTTACACATTGGCCCTGTTTGCAGCAGCAGAAGAAATCTTCTGGCCCCTCCTCAGAAGTGACAAATTCAATTCACAGAGAAAATATTTTATGCTAATGAACTTCTCAATTTTGCCATACCCTCCCCTAGGTGTTCTCCTTCTCACTCCCATATAAACACATGAGTTAGAAGATTTGGATTGCTGGCTCTAAAAACATTTGTTCCTCAATTATGCTAACTCTGAGGACACAGCAAAGCAAACAGTTCTTTACTGGAAATTCCTATAGCCCTTACATATGCTTTCTGTACCATGTCATCACATGGATGTGGCCTCATAACCACTCTCTCTGTTTCAGGTGTGTTTGATTCTACCCACACAACACTCCCAATCAGCTCTTTAAGAAAAGAGGCTTTGTTTTATACATACTTGTACTTGCCATGGTACCTAGAGTGGCCACAGGCTACAAATGTTACTTAAATACACAGTGAATGAACATTGAAGGGAACTACTTCATGGTTTAAATGAAGGCTAACCAAGATGACAAACTTGAAAGCACCAGTCAAAAAGTAAAAACTCTACTCCTGTTTCCCTCATCCATACATTAGTTCAATTAGCTAACTCAAAATTTTAAGAAAATTCATTAATAATACTCAAATAAAAGTTTTACTACCTTGAAGCAGAAACTGAGATATTCCTCTTTTTAAACTAATTTTAATCTAAATAAGTAAAACAGCTCACCTGTTTTCAGTGGCTTCTTCATGGACATACCAGAAATAAATATAAATGCTCTGGTCTGTACTTATACATTCACAGATAATTTTTTGGTGAATGACTCATCCATTTGCCTTCTAGTAGAAGGCAAAATACCCTAGCTGCCTAGGATGGATGTAGAGGATGAACAGGAGAAATGACTGTATGTAGATATGGGGTGGGAGTAAAAGAAAGTGGATGGGTTTGAGGCAATCCATTTTTAAAAAAAAACAAGAATTTTAATTGGTTCCTTACCCCACGGTACTGGCTTTCATTGAAAATTTGAGGTGGCAAGGGGTACCCTGTGGCTGGTCGACTGTTTTCAGGTACATTTTCTCTCATCCACTTCCGATTCTCTTCATTGGCTGCAATATCTTTTTCTTCAAATCCTATTTTGTTAGCTTCTAAGAAACCAAGCACATCTTGCTGTTTCTTCTTAATCTAGGGCCCAAAGGACAAGAAGTTATATTGTTGAACAAACAGCTTTTATTATTTTTATCATATTCAACAAAAAATGTGTTAATGAACTAGCAGAAATGAATTCAGACATGGATCAAGATTTGTGGTTTAACAGAAGATATATAGTTTTCCCTCTATTATTTTGTTGTTAATGTTGTCTCACAAGTGGATTGAAGAGCTTTCAGTTCACAGATCCTTTTATCAACCCAACTTTTCCTTTTTTTCACTGAAATGCTCACATCTAATCATGAAGAAGAAAAGATAGCTGATACATAGCAATAACCTCAAGTGCAATTAACTCAAAAGTTTGAGTAGTGGCAAGGTGTGTTTCCCGATTATCTACAAGCTTCTCTTAATTTTAGCCTTTGTTGAAAGTCATTCCAAATGACCTGAGTCTACTTCCTGTCTTAATAAGCATCATACAGTTAACAGAAATGAATATTTCCTTGAGAATGTTACAAGACTCTATGTGTCAATTTTCATCATATGGAACAGAAACTGAACAAGTAAACAAGAGTCTTTTTCATGAAAGTGCTGAGCTACAACAACACATTTAATCAAGATGGGGCTTTGTCTTGTTTTATAATCAACCTGTCGCATTTTCTCAGCTAACACTTTATTGAAGATCAACAGAGGTTCCAACTGTGATGCACTAAAATCTAAAATGATTGTCCGAAACTGTATTTAATAGCTATTCAACAATATTTCTTTGGTGCCTCTTAAGTATGTAAGAAATTTATCAGGTTCTTTAAAATGTCTAAAGAAAAATAGCAGATTCCCTCCTAAAATTACAATCTAGAGGGAGGTATTAGACATAGATATATTAAAATTTTCAATTATAACATGGTATTTAAATATGAAGCTAAGGTGGTCAGGTGAGAGGAGTCAAGTGAATGACAAAGCCAAGAGTGCAAGGAACTTAAAAGAGAGAGCAAGTGCTTATTGCTATGAGTGATGCCACTTAGACTAAGCTTAATACTGACAGCACACATGCTGCATACTACATCCATCTATATTGCATGCAGTCTATGGTTTTAGTGAAAGCATGATATACTTAGTAAAGTTTAATATAATTGTCCAGCTGTGAAAAATGAGCTCACAAATATTACAGCATATTGAACTAGAACAATAAAGGTACAGTATTACAAAATAAACTTGGAAACTTTCTAAATGGATGCTCATAATTTCTATGACTAAATTCTTACACATAATTGAAGTCTCTAAATGAATAAACACTTGTGTGGGTGTGTATTTTGTCTTTTTAAATAGGTTATAATTTGTGACCCAGTCAACTTCTGCAAAGAGAAATTCAGATATATAAATTCCTTCCAATTGGTTCTGTTTGTTTCAAATGCTGCCACAAGAAGGGCTACACTAATTTGTAGTTAAATAATAAGACTGTCTTTGCCTAGCCAGTGCCTATCGATTTAAGAATGGGGTGAAGGAAGCATGAACAAATAGAATTTAAAGCTGCCTTTTCAGTCTTTTACTAATCTACTTACAAAATACACCCAAAAGGAAAATCAAGTCTGAATCCCCAGTTAGTCTGTTTGGCACTAGACTACTGCAGTGTTGCCACTGTGTAGTCATTTGGTAAACAAAGAGATCTGTGTGCATTTTAAATGAATACTGTCATGAGTCCTTAAGCCACTGGCTTCCTACTGCTTAATCTAATGGTATAACCACAGCAAGAAACACTTGTTTTCAGCTTGCCTGTTTTGAAATATTTTAAAAAATGCTTTGGTCACAATCAGCCATGTAAAGCTTGTAATTCACATCTCTTTACCAACAAGTCTACAACAAATCTAGGGTAAGACTATTAAGAATTTTCTTGTTGATCTCCTATCTCTACCCCTAGCTCCCTGGAGTTCTCCTGACAGATGTTCCAAGATGTGGCAGCATAAGAGCACAATGTAAGGTTTGCTATTTTACTGCTGTCTGCCTCCCCAAATACTGTTATTACTTTCTTTTTCAGTTGCAATTCTACCACATTATGTCTAGAGAGATGTTAAGGCTCAAGTAATTTCAGTAGAGCCTTGTGTGAAAAGAGGAGTGTAGATATTTAAAGGTAGTTTCTCAAAAACAGCTATGTCTTAAGGTGGTCACAGTAAAGAAAGTACAGTCATGCCTAATTTTCTGGGTTAAAAAGGCTTTTCTTTATCAGTTCTGAAAAATCTCATCTATCCAGCCCATTCTTTTTAAATTTTATCTTTATTGGAGTATAATTGCTTTACGATGTTGTGTTAGTTTCTGCTGTACAACACAGTGAATCAGCTATATGTATACATATATCACCATATCCCATCCCTCTTAAGCCTCCCTCCCACCTTCCCTAACTCAACCCTCTAGGCCTTTGCAGAGCATTGAACTGACCTCCCTCTGCTATGCAGCAGCTTCCCACTAGCCATCCATTTTACATTTGGTAGTGTATATATGTCAATGCTACTCTCTCACTTCATACTAGCTTCCCCTTGCCCTCTGTGTCCTCAAGTCCGTTCTCTACATCTGTGTCTTTATTCCTGCCCTGTCACTAGGTTCATCAGTACCGTTTTTTTTAGATTCCATATATATGCGTTAGTGTACGGTATTTGTTTTTCTCTTTCTGACTTACTTCACTCTGTATGACAGACTCTAGGTGCATCCACCTCATTACAAATAACTCAATTTCGTTCCTTTCTATGGCTGAGTAATATTCCATTGTATATATGTGCCACATCTTCTTTATCCATTCATCTGTCAATGGACATTTACATTGCTTCCATGTCCTGTCTATTATAAATAGTGCAATGAACATCAGAGTGCATGCATCCTTTTGAAGTATGGTTTCCTCTGGATACGTGCATAGGAGTGGGATTGCTGGGTCATATGGTAGTTCTATTTTTAGTTTTTTGAGGAACCTCCATACTGTTCTCCATAGTGGCTGTATCAATTTACATTCCCACCAACAGTGCAAGAGGGTTCCCTTTTCTCCACACCCTCTCCAGCATTTATTGTTTGTAGATTTTTGATGATGGCCATTCTGACTGGTGTGAGGTGATACCTCACTGTGGTTTTGATTTGCATTTCTCTGATAATTAGTGATGTTGAGTATCTTTTCATGTGTTTGTTGGCCATCTGTTTCTCTTTTTATGGAGAAATGTCTATTTAGGTCTCCTGCCCATTTTTGGATTGGGTTGTTTTTTTTGATATTGAGGTGCATGAGCTGCTTGTATATTTTGGAGATTAATCCTTTGTCAGTTGCTTCGTTTACAAATATTTTCTCCCATTCTTAGCGTTGTCTTTTCCTCATTTATGGTTTCCTTTGCTGTGCAAAAAGCTTTTAAGTTTCATTAGGTCCCATTTGTTTATTTTTGTTTTTATTTCCATTTCTCTAGGAGGTGGGTCAAAAAGGATCTTGCTGTGATTTATGTCATAGAGTGTTCTGCCTATGTTTTCTGCTAAGAGTTTTATAGTGTCTGGCCTTTCATTTAGGTCTTTAATCCATTTTGAGTTTATTTTTGTGTATGGTATTAGGGAGTGATCTAATTTCATTCTTTTACATGTAGCTGTCCAGTTTTCACAGCACCACTTATTAAAGAGGATCCAGCCCTTTCTAATCTGGAGCTTTTTCCAGAGTCAGAAGGAACTGCAGTCTCTCTCCATTTCCTTCAGACATGGCTATATGTGTAGACCCAGGAGGCTGTGAAACAAGGAGCACTGGGAGTACCATCTACCCTAAAATTCAATTCTTCTGATGCTTGAAACTCTACCATGACCGGTTTACCAGTTTGGTCTTCATAGAAAGGGCAGTCAGTGTGCATATTTGGAGTGGAGGGAGGGATTGCCCGGAGAGAAGAAAGGCAAGGAAACAGTGACGTTTCTTTGTCTGCCTTAGAATTTTGCCAGAGTTGTCCCTATATAATTCTAATAGAGGGGTACACAAAATGTGTACCAGGAATGGCCTCCCAAGATAATCCCAAGAGGAAATTTCCAAGCCTTATTATATGTTAGTACTGGGTTAAGATTTGTACCAGATAAAGACCTTTAAGGAGAAAGGGAACTAAGACTTGTTGAGTGCTTGCTGAGTACCAAACTCTTTGTGAGGCTATGTACATATATCCCCTGAAATGCTCATAACAATTCTGAAAGGTTAGTATGATTATCCCCATTTTACAACAAAGGAAATTGAGGCTTAGATAGGTTAAGATACCTGCGCAAGAAGAATGATCTCTTAATTGCCTCTACTAAATTAAAAATATAAAGCTATCTGACTGCAAAACCCTGTTCTTTTTCAATACATGCAGTACATATTAGAATTCCCAATCTTGCTGGGGAAATAAGACGGAAATATATGGAAGAGTTCTTCTAAACTATGTGATACAAAATAGAAAGACAACAAAAGCTGAGATATCTTATGTTCTCTTCCAAATAGCCTAATTTACTGAATTTGATTTCCTAGTTATTATGGTCTCTTTCCCCTTGACCAGTCTAAACTGAGTTCCTAAGCCCACCAACTTGTGGGCTTGCTTGCACATGGGCAGCATGCACACAGAAGAACTGAATGGAATGTCATGAGGCCTCTGGTTTGTTGCTGACTACACTGAAAACAATGTAGCCCATGTCTCCCCTTTGTCAAGAGCTCGGTCACTTAATAGTTCTGAGTGGGCAAAGCTGGTATAGAGGCGTATTTCTGTACTTTAAATTTACAGAGAAACAGATGAGAAAGTGCAAGGGCATCAGACCCCTCCCATTCTTTACTTTTTTAAAATAAGCAATGTACCCATCACTTTAAAAAAAGAAAGTCCAACAACGTTTTCAAAGAGCAAAATTATCTGAACACAATGCACTACTCACTTGAAAGTAAAAACAGGGACTTCCCTGGTGGAGCAGTGGTTAAGAATCTGCTTGCCAATGCAGGGGTCATGGGTTTGAGCCCTGGTCCGGGAAGATCCCACATGCCGCGGAGCTACTAAGACCGTGCACCACAACTACTGAGGTTGTGC